AATATATTATTTCATTGAACACAAAGTTGTTTATATTCACAAGAACCCAACACAGTCCCCAATCACTAGTGCTCTAGTGTGGAAGAGCTTAACTTACATATATCATATTCCTGGATTGATTCAAATTGAAATCTTCAAAGAGTTCTTGGTGAATTTAGATAGAATACTCCTAAGGTCCTTTTTTATACCATGAACCCATCGAGAATAACGAGAACAAGTGTTTTCAGCCTAATTTGAACACTTTTAAACCGGGAGACTTACAGATTTAGGATACCATGCCCGCTTCGCACACAATGTTTATAAAACGTATTTCAAGTACTAGTGGCTTGTGCTTAGAAATATGCATGCATTTGAACATTATGAGCATAAAATATGTGCAGTATGATTAGAATATCAGCTTGGAGGAGCCTTTTTGTTACTTACGTCTTTTTTTTTATTAACTAATAGTTAAAGCTGAAAATTACAATTGGATTTACACATACATAGATGAAATTTATTAAATCTAGCTCAAATTTGATCAGTTGTAAATCTCCTCTTGATGCTTCTTAAGAACTTAATTTTTTTTTGTTTCGCTTCTTCTTTTTTTCGGAGCCACTCACTTTTTTCTTAGATACGCAAACACGACAAAACCAATCTTCATTATCGTTTGGAGCCACAAGTATGCCCACGCATGTCCTATAATGCTCAAACATGATAATTATGTAAAAAACATATTTTTAAGTACACGGACTCACCAATGATACCATGCATCACATCCATCGCAACCAATCATGGCTGAGCCATCATCAACTTTTCCACATGCCGGACAAATCCAGATGCGATAGCCATCAGCATCAACATAAGACGAGGGACGACTTAGCTCTGCACTCTGTGTTGTTGTTGGAGTGGGCGTGCCGTCAGATACTTTCGTTGCATTCAATGCAGCACTAGGTCTTGAGCTCTGTTTTATAGGCGACAATGACAATGATAACGATGATGTTGGCTGCATTAATTGTTGGGGTAATAGAACTGAACTAGCCGATATTGTTGATGTGGCTGCATTTGAAGTCCAATTGTTTGCTGTGGTTCCAGTTACAGCAGATAGAGCTGGCGACTGGGTACTTATTAGTGGCATCGCCGCTGACATCATGGGTGAAATAGCCTGGGTTTTGGTACTAACCGAGGAAACAGAAGCAGACGGGGCCGTAGGTAAATTCAAATGTTGGGTTTCGCCTAAAACAAGATCACTTATTGAATTACACTTCATATAAGTATTTAATTTTACAATTCTATTGCCTACATTGCTTTGGCTTCGGAGCACGGGTTACAAGTGGCGAGAATCTAGCCAATTCTGGCGAATGCTCCCTTTTAGCCAATGTGATTGCCGTCTGAGGAGGGTGTGCTATCGTATTAGTTACTACCGCATCATGCTCATAATCCATTCCTTCGACTGTGGGTTGTGAGGGTGATGATCTTCCACTAAGCTTCAGTGTTAACCTTGGTATGTGGTTAGGTGAAAGGTCTAAGTTGGGTGACGCTATCGAATTTGGGATCATCGGTATTGAGTGACCAAATGTCGATGGTGCTAAAGTCTCGACGTCTCCTCCAATTACTGCATGACCCATGGCACCTGCAGTACTATTTTTTAATTGTATGTCACTGCTTCCTTCTCGTGCTTCGCGGATCTCTTTTATTATTTGCAATCTATCCGTTGGCAACTGTAATACAATTTATATATATGTATGTATATAGTATAAAAATATATATACAAAATTTATATATTCATTTTTGATAAATATAAAATAATTGGAAAGCTTACTTGTTTTTTTCGTTTCTTATCCTTTCTTAATTTTTTCTCTTCGCTTTTTATCTTTTCATTAGATAATACATCCATATCATCCGCCTTACATTTGTTGCGGATTTTTTCCTTTTTGTCTTTCTTTTTTTTTATCTTTCCCTCTTTCGGCTTTTTAAACTTTTTATGCAACTTCCGAATTTTCAGTTCACTGATTGTCATATTGGTTGGGGTAATCGTTAAATCGTCATATCCAAGAGCTCCAAGGAAATGTGGATCGGGTGCTGCAGCTGTTGTTGGCATTGTTGCATCAGCGGATGTGGCTGTTGGTGCACCAGAAGTGGCGCCAACTGCTAGACTTGTGGATGGCACTGTCAAGGACGAATATGCCAAACCACTGTCAATCCGAGACAGGGGTATTAGATCTGCGCCACCAGCAAGACTAAATTTATCGCTACCCATGAAGTGGATCTTGAATGGTGTTGTCGTTGCTTGTTTTGTTGCTGCTGCTGTTGTCGTTGTGGTTGTTGCTGTCGTTGGTTGTGATGACGGTGGCGCAACAGGCAATTTGTTCTCATCAGTTTGACGTATTTTTAAAGTTCCCGAATGAGGTTTCCTATTGCATTTTGGTTGTAGCAAGGGACTGGAATTGATCGCATATAGTTGACAGGTTTCAATAACTGGATTCATAAGACTCGACGGTTGCTTTAAGTTTGTTTTTTGACTAGGTGATAGACTGTTATTTGCCTTGGATTCGCCGTCGTTTGAGTCCGAGTCGGACACCTCAATGGGATCACCGACGTTGCCTGTTGCAGCTGGCAATAATTTGACTTGTGCCTTTCTAGTGTTAGTGAAGTCTTCGTTGACAGCCTGAACGACAGTTGATCTATGAGTTACTTCTGCATCAGCGCACTCGTTAGTTAGCATTTGATGGGGTGACTTTAGTTTAACGCCTTCAACTGGTCCAGTTGGAATTTTCATAGAGTCTGGCACCAGCGGCGCAACATTGCAATAGCTGCGTTCCATATGAATGTCTGACAGCGGCATGAGCCCACTCAGAGCTGCTGCTTTATTATCTGTGAATTGAAAATAAGAACATTTCTTGACCTAAACCCCAAGTATGCACCCTAAGTGTGGTTTATGCTTACCCGGAGCTGTAGCTGAGAAGTTCATAAACGAATGTGACATAATTAAATTGGAGGCCGTGCCGCAGACAACCGACTTGTTAAAACCAGTTAAATTCGGCGAAAATAAACCTGGACCCGTTGGTATTAGGCCAGGTCGTGGAGGAAAGTGCAATAAGGGCAGCATCGGCATTATATTTCGTTCATTGTTTGAGATTGTCCTTGGTCCAGAGCCAGTTTCAAAGCCAAGACTTCCAACTAGTTTTGTATCCGAGTCAGCCCCTATGACAAGCGTTGAAGCCTTCGACATTTTCATCTCTGAATCCATTAAACAAATCTTTTTATCCATTTCTCGCGCATTGTCAATATTGCTGTCCTGATATTTTATTTTCGATTTTTTTTTCTCCTTTTTTTCTTTTGGTTTTTCGACCTTCTTTTCACCCTGATTGTCCGAAAAATTTAGACTGATATTACTTTTCAATTGATCGACATGACTTAGATTCAGGGGCTCCATCACAGGCATAGCAAATGTTAAGGGTATGGGGACAGTAGTGGGTAAAGTTGGCATCACTGTAGTACTGTCTTGATATGTACAAACTGGATTCAGCTTTGTAGCTTTTGTTTTCTTTTGTATTTGTATGGACGAAGGTATGGGCAATATGTTAGTTAATGAGGATGCTTGAGGCCTGCATTGATTTTTGCCACCTGGTTTACGGCCACGTTTTTTTGGTTTATTCAAATCATTATTCAGTAAATTGGTTGCAGATGAAGGCGATTGCGGATAAGTGTTTAAATAATCGTATGTTGCCAAATTACCCAAGGACAAATTTAAATTGGTATTAGTTATATTCTCATTAGCACTTGGGGCTGGCGGTGCTGGTGTTATAGTTGTACCAGATGGCAAATTGATTAACGGCGATGCTACATTGTTGGCATTTTCATATGGGCTCGAAGAAACATTCAATTTGCTAACCTTTTGCTTGGAGATTTTCTTAAAAATATTCAATTTATTTCGATCTGGTTCGTTAGCTAGTTTTATTTCGTCAATCAATTCAATTGCTATGTTGGGCGCTGGGGCTATGTTGTATGCTTCTTTGTCTTCAATCTGTATGACAGCAGGAGGAACAAGTCCAACTTCATTCACGGGCTGCTCAAGTGGTACGGGATTTGCGCTACTGAATGGATTCACTGGCATAGTGTTGATTGTACCTATACTGAACTTGGAAGCTGACTGAAATTGACCTGGCGGCTGCTGCTGCAGCTGAAGTTGCTGTTGCTTTTGGTATTTTAGTTGCTTTTGTTTTAGTTTTGTTTGTTTTTTTATCAATTTCTCAAATTGTGTTCGCTCTGTTGAACCATCTGGCAAATCGGATAATATGCCACGATTTAATATTTTCATTTTTTTCAGGTCGATCCCATTGCTGCCGCTACAGCTGCTTCCACTTTCAATTTGATTCTTTGACAACTTTTGATAAATTTTCAAAGCTTTTCGCCGAGCCTTATCCACAGCTTTGACAGCACTTAAATCATTTGTCTTCTGACCCGTAGTTATATTTTTCTTTTTGCTCTTCTTGTGTTTTGAGTTCGGTGTTAGTGTTGCAAATGCTGCCGTTTCTGACGCAGCAGAGTTTGCTTCCTCATTACATCTATTAATTTCATTCGATGTAGTCGGATCACAGCATGGAGGCTTTTGCTCTACCGTTGCAATATCTGGCAAACGTTCTAGAGAATCAAATTTTTTTATTTTTGGTATGTCAACAACATCATTTGTGGTATCTTTTTGTATTTCCAATTTAGGCACATGCGGAATGGAAGGTGCATCGAGTCCTTTGAATTTTTCTAAAAACAAATATGCATATCTTTTAGTATTATCATAAATTGAAGTTATATATATATATATATATATATATATAATGCTTAAAAGCTAAAAAATGAGACCAAAACAGTTCTACTACCATTTATGAAAAAAACTAAGCTATTTTTATACCCTGAACCCATTGAAAATGGGAAATCAGGGTATAATGTTTTT